GCTAAGTGCTTTTCTCTATAAGAAATATTAAAGTAGAAAAGAAGTGTAGGTAAACCTTGTAACTGTATATCAGAAGGTGATTCCTGAACTGATGAAAGGGGGTCTAATCACCTTTTACTGCTACAAACAGTTTAAACACTGTAGAGTGCTCTAATATGCTCTCATTTTAAGCATACAATAAGTTGATTTTAAGTAGTCTAGATTAGATTAGTGTGGATTAATATTATTATTATTTAGATTTAATTGTCAGAGTTATGAATTAGTCACATTCATAACTCTTTCAAAATATTTTTCAGTACGAACCAACTGATAAGTCCAGTTGTAGTGATAAAAGTTTTTATTTTTTTATCATTGTAACCTTGTGTTTCTACTGCTTAGAGCAGCTTTCTTGATGTTTAAGTTCTCACAAAGTGTGGGATGATATTTTAAGTTAATARTCAGGACTATAAAGCCCACATAGCAAAAATTAGCCCAGCTCTGGCCCACATGTCCATACGTGAGCAGTAATGCCCAGCCCAGACACAGAAAAGAACAATGACCTTTTGTTGGCCCAGAGGTGGTCCATACATAGACCAGCATCCACATATACCAAACAACAACTGGGCCATTTGTGGTACTGACAGATCTGGACCACATACAAACCACAGTTGGGCCAGTTGTGGAATGAAATCATTTGAACAGTGACATCATAGCCAGGCCTGGCCCACATCTAGTTCACAAACTACCTCAAGCCAGGAGTGTCAGCTTGAGACCAGATCTGTCTGCTAGGTTTAAACTGTACTGTCTGAACAATATTGGGGCATTAAATTGTCAAAATGAGCCAGCTCTATTTTAAACAAGGTTTTTATTTGAATATATTTTGCTGTAATACATTGCTCAGAATTATTGGTTTTCTATGTCTTCTGATAAGGAGACAATTGGTCCACCCTCTAGATGGAAAACAGGGTTTCTGATCCCCCCGACAAATATTCCAATAAATGAGATTTGTATGGAAAGTTTCATCATTTTTCTTCTAAACTCCTCCGTAGCTCACACTGTTACCTTCATCAACAGCATCAAATCTGTTTCCTTGTTTTTCAAATCAGCGCTGCCTCGAGGCCTGCAGTGTTTCCTTTTCTGCTCAAAGATTTCTCCCGTGTCTGTAAATCTGCTGATAATATTTTATTTATTAGACGATGGAATCCTCGAGCTGACTGCAGTTTTACATTTAGGAAATGTTTTTTTTAACTCACCCACACAATCTGTAATAGAGTAACACACACCTCCACAAAATTTATTTGCTAGCTTATTGCCAATAAATATTCTTAGGTTTCTGATGTGAACAGATTTTTTTAATACAAAACTTTAGCCATGTTTCAGTACCCACTCCAGCTTATTGTAATCAGACTTAAAGCAGGATTTAAACAATTCAGTTTAACTTTTTTTTTTTTTACTTTTCGCAACATGCCAAATTGAGTTGATTAATAGAATTTGCTCACATTTTAGGATTTCTACAATTTTTGATATGAAAAAAATAAGCAGTTTAATACTTTTTGTATTACATGAGCACATTTTTTCTAAGAAAACCTGCTTTTAATTGTGTTCATTATGTAAAAATTCTCATTTACTGAAAGAATTTGACTCCTCTCCTCCACTTTACTGTAATGTTCTTGTTGTTTTGGCCTCCTGCAACCTGAAGCATCTGTATTGACTGACATTTAAAATTAATCATATCCATTCTCGTTTTTTTTAAGACATCGAGGGGGATCTTAATGATTCCTTCTTATTACAGTGGTTAATGAAAGTGTCCTTGAGACAGACCGGATGGTTCTGAGTAAATGTCAGCCATGTAGGTGTGCGGTGATCCAGCCGTAATCCTCACGGCCAGCCTGAGCTCTCTCCCCACACCGGCCCGTAGCCCCGCAGACTCCCAGCAGAGGACAGGACTAATGATAGTTCCTCTAATAAAGATTGAAGGTCTGAAGCTCAAACTGTATAGAAAGATGGAGGCGAATCAAGAAGCCCGGCTCGATTAACTTAAAGCTGGAGGCTCTGAGAGCATGTGAGGGATTATCTCTTGTTATGAGCTCCATTTATTCAGAAGCACTCACCTGTGTCKGTGCGATTGATTCCTCAGTCTTCAGGCTCTGGTCCTGACTGATATATAAATTGTTTTTTTTTTCTTTTAGATGCTCTAGTCTGCTTCAGATTTAATCCATCTTCATTTTGTTGCTCACATTACCAAATTAACCCATGTTCTGCTTAATAAACAGATTTTGTTTGTATTTTTTATCTTTTTTTTTTTGCTTCAGAATAATAATAATAATAATAATAAAGCTGTTGTCTTGCTGCATTGCACCTGCTTTTGTCTTGTTCACGGCGAATGCCTGCCTTTCTGCCTGCCTGCCTGCGTGTCTCCAGCATGCTCAGAGGAGGAGACGCCTGCTCAATCATGTCTGTTTTCTAACAGATCTGTTTCTGTCTCTTTGTCTCTTTTTTCTCTTCTGCATCCAATTCTGGGTTTTATTTATTATTATTTTTAATTTGGTTACTTTTTTTGAACAAGTATTCCAAATGCTTGGGGCATTTTTTTCAATGAAATGTTAGCGACATCGTGACAACTATTTAATCTCAATTTGTATAAATCCTGATCAAACTGTTGACTTTTATGTCTCTAGATTCTTTGGGGGTGGGGGTGGGGGGGGTCCATGAAGATCCCAGGTTTTGCAGCAAGTTTATCAGTATTTATTTATTCATTTATGTTTGCATTATGTTTTGTAGTTTGCTTGATTTACAAGCCATAATGAGCTCAGGCTGTTGTTTTGCAGCTGTTAGTCTGTTTTTGGTCTAGTTTCAGGACATTTTGATGATTTTCTGACACGTAAAAGCTTTGCTAGTGTTGAGTTTTTCAACATGTTTCTGCTCTTTGTCTGCCTTCCCTTTCATTCTCCTCCTCTCATCCGGAGACGTTTGTCCGTTCCTCTCTGACTCTCTCTGTTTCCTGTCTTGTGACCCTTGGGTTTCTTCTTCTTCTTCTTCTTCTTCTCCTGTTTCTTTCAACATCCACTCTCTTTTTTTCTTTTAGTTATTTTGTTTCCTCTCCTCTCTCACATTTAAAGCATCTACTTTCTGAATGGGCCTGACTCTGGTATATAGCCGTGTTTTTTAAATAGATTCATGTGTTTTCTTCTTCCTCGCTCCTTCTTTTTTTCTTCCCCCCTTTTTCCCTCCTCCCCCTCCCTCCTCTCTGCAACCCACTTTTAATCCTCTCTTTATCTCCATTTTCCTGTCTCTCTCTTTCCCCCCCACTTTCCTCTCCTCCGCCCACCCCCCCGTCTCTCGCTTCTTCTTCTTGTCCTCCTTCTTCTCCCCGTTTCATTCTGTCCGCGCCCTGATGTGTAGGAGCGACAGACACATGTACATAAGTTTATGAACTTATAAACATGCACATACTACCTCGCATATCTCTCTCTTTCTATTTTTTGCTCGCCCTTTCCCTGTTTTTTGCCTCTCCCATGCTGTCTTTGGTGTTTCTTCTTCCGTGTGTCCAACGATCACTCTGTAATTGCAACGGCACCTTTTTAACGCCCCCCCCCCCCCCTCCAAAACCCCGCCCCCCGTTTGATTCACTTCCTGTCCACATTTCCAACTCATTTGACTACACACTTGTATCAATTATGAATCCTATGTATTGTACAGTATGTTGTTGTACAATGTGGCTGTCCTTTGCTACATTGCCTGTCATTGTCTTTGGAAGAGACGCAGAGCTGCCTCCTGCTCTCTGTCTGTCTGCCTGTCTTTCTCTCTGGATCTCTTCTTCTTTTCCCTGTTCTCCTCCGTGTCACCTCTCCTCGTCTCGCTTCTCTCTGCCTCCCTCTCTCTCTCTCTCTCTCTCTCTCTTTCTCGCTCTAAAAGTCTTCAGTTCTTCGTTCTCTTCTTTGTGTTTTTCTCCACCATTATTTTTTTTTTTCCTTTTTCCTCCCTCTTGAGTCGCCCAGGCATGCAAATGACCTATGAGTTCAGTCTCTCGGTGCACACCATCCCCTCCCCACCACCGCCACCGCCGTACCTCCTCCTCCTCCTCCTCCTTCGACTCTAAAAAACAGTGGAGCGAGCTCTGACAGATGCACCATTGGAATTTAACCGGCTACTTGGCTCGCWCTTCGCGCAGGACACAAATAGCACGAGGGGGCCTATTGATCGGCCCCTGTGATGCATACGCTCACTCGAAAAAGCAGCTACTTTACAAGCACCTCAAGGCACAGAAATCTCAATGATGTGAAGTTTCTATGGTAAAGTTTTAGTGTGTAGAAAGGAGGAGGAGGTTGCAAAGTTGTAACATAGCTTTATTTAAAGTACATATTAATATCTTGCAAATTCTTATTCTCTAAAAAATTGAGAGAAACTGACTCAAGGTGTCATGTCCTGGTTGAAAAGGTACTCAAGAGTTTGTCACTTTTATTATTTTGAGTAGGCAGCTCACTCTGAGTGGTTGAGCTTAACACAAGATTTGTGTCTTTCTGTTGAAGTCATCAGTGCCATAAAGTAATTGGGACTAAACTTGAAATATCCCTTTGTAATTTTCTGTAAATCCCTGAAGTTCATTCTCCCCCTTCCTGTTACCTCTCCTCTCTCTTTCTTTTTCTTCCTTTTTAATCTTTCCTGCCCTCATTCTCTCTCTCTCTCTCTCTCTCTCTCTCTCTCTCTCTCTCT